AGGGTGATGTTTCCTCGAGATTGGGGTTGCAGACAATTCGCCAGAACGAGAACTCCCTCCTGGGCAGGGCTATTATACGAGGGGAAAACAGCTCTGAATACCTGCAAAATTAAAAAAAAGAAATCGATATTTAAATCTATTATTAATCCTCAAAAAAATAACTACTAAAACCCGCGTGTACCTCTCGAATATAATTTTTGGTTTGAAATTCTAAATTTTAAGAAATTCGTGTTGTCATAACTAATCAATTACAAATTGATAAAAATTATATTTTGTTTATTAGTTAATAATAATAATAATAATAATGGGGAGGTGGGATCAAATTATCTATAATATATAAAATAAAATATAAATTATATATATACATTATAAATACAATATTTAAATTATCTTTTTGTTTCGTTTTATTAATTTTATGAAGTATTGTTCATCTATTTTACCTGCGTATCGTAATTCGAAACGTTCAATAATTTTTCGTCTTGACTGCCAACTCCAAAAAGTATAAATCCACTGTCCCCTCTGGATGCTGTACCAACAACCCCATTAGTTGCTAATAGTCCGGACTCGAAGACTAAATATTTCATTATTTCAGCGAGTGACTGCATTTTTCGCAGTGTAATGCTCACAGGAATTTTCAGAGACACGTACATCGGGATATTCAAATGATCAAATAAATTCTTTCCCACTTCTGGAATTGCCTTGATTACAGGTATCTGCGACAGGGAATTCATCAATTATTTTATTTAATATTTATTTGATATTTTTGTTTAACATTTAATAGTCATTTTATGGAAATTCTAAACGCAGAGAAAGAGGGAGTGCGAATTGAAAAGAATTCTCTCAATTTGTTTCGGATAATTAATTTATATTGTTTATTTACATACTCGATTTTGTTTCAGCTCCTCAAAGGGCCCAACTCCTGATACCATCATTAAATGTGGTGTATTCACAGCCCCAGCACACAAAATCACCTCATCATTCGCTGCAATCGTCCCCAGGGTGCCATCCTGGAGTTTCACTTTTATACCCTCGACGGTTTTTTTATCGTCTTCAAATAAAATCTGGAAAAACAATTAATCCCAAAAATCGGTTGGAATTGGTATTCAAATAATTGCAATCGCACGGGGACCAATGGGCCCCCAAGATATTTCGGGGCCATTTCAATTTCAAAATCAAAATTTTTAATAATATTGTAATTATTTACAGGAAAATTATTATTGTTTAAATTGAATTTTCACACAGACGAGAGGTGCGGTCGTAAAATTATTATTAAAACCATAGAATGCTCTAGTTTTTTAAATAAAAATTGGGGAAACGCGAGTTTTGATGAAGAACTGTCAGATTTATCGAAAATCTATTCGGGATTTAACGAGAAATATTGATAATTATTGAATTATTATCTACCAATATAAAATATCAATTATTAATCTAAATATAATCCTGAATATCAATTTACTTTGACGACTAACGTGTCCGGTAAAATGTGAAGATTTTTTCTGTTCCAGGCAGGCTGGAGATAAGCCTGATAACTGCTAAATCGTTTTCCTCGTTTTATCGTATTCTCAGCT